TTGACAAATTATGAAAGTTTGGACCCTTAGGGGCAAAATTGTAATTTTGGATATTTTGGCCTTAATGAACATTTAGGCTTAATCAAAATGGGAAATGGGTAATTTATGATATTAATTAATTCATTTGATGATTTTCAGTCAAAAAAATGGGTTTAATTGGTAGAAACACACTTCACTTTGTCAAGTCACAAGATAAAAGAATAATTCTCATAATTATCAAAATTTTGAAACTTCATTAGCATAAGATGACTTTTGAATTTAGGGGTATAACTTTGGAAATCAATGATTTCACACCCCTATTTGATAATCAAACTTTGGAAATCAATGATTTCATACCGTTATTTGATAATCAAAATGATGTTGATAATGATCATTTAAAGTTTTAAATCTTTTTTAAAATTAATACACACACACTTAATACATTCACTTAGGTCTTAAGGACTTAGTGGTGAACTTAAGTTGAAATTCACATGTTAAAAGAGGATTAGGAAAATCAATATAATTAAACTCTTTTAAAAACACCATAAGTCCAATTAGGACTAAAAAAAATTTGGCTAAGTGTTCTCAATAACACTGATTTGCCCCTTTCAGGGTCTTCACCCACATAATTACTTGGGGATAATCAAGATATCAATATTCACTGAGCATCAGGATATTCAGGATGAATTATTAAGTAACGTAATAAATTTTAAATGAACCCAAGGCCTTTTACCAGATGTTAAGAAGGTTGCATGGACCTGCTCCCTACTCTTAACCTGGTGAATACCTTAGAGATCTATTAAACTTAATATGTTTTGCTTAATAATATAGTATTCTTAAAATTTAAGGACCCCCAATACACAACATAGAGTTAGGAAGATTTCCAAAACTTTACTTTTCCAGCTCTATATACATAAATGCTCTGACATGCATTTTGAGTTGCAGGTGGTGGAACGAGAAGACTCACCAGGTACACTTTTACAGTTTACCGCATTTTACAGTCTTTCTTGTACTTTCTTACCGCGCTTTTATTCATGCTTGTATTTATATACCTGCATAGAAAATATAAAATTGCATAAATCATCACCACAACATTTCAAAATATAAAACAACTCAAAATTTAATCACAAACATCATACAAAATACAACTTCAATTAAATTAATATGCCTCTATTGGAAAATCGGGAACCCCTCAGAGGAGGTAACCTACGGTTGCTAACGAGGCTTCCCACGGTCTAAATGAAATTATGGAACTCATTAAGTTGAGTTTAGTAAATTCATTTGGACTAAGTGATTCCAATAGAAAAGAGTGGTGCCGGGACGACGGAACCGTAGGATCTTGACCGGTGTCACTTTAATCAACTTTAATATGCCCATAAAAAAA